TTATGATTTTTTAAGTAAAACGAGTCGTAACGTGTGTTTGTCAACATATAATTGTTATAAAAAAATATTTAAATAAATGATTTTCAAATGTTCTTTACATTGATTTTTAGTCGACGGTACAAAGATATTATAATAATTTTTGGGGAATTTTTCAAAGCTATTAACATTATAAAAAACACGTGGGACTCGAAAGTGCATGGTTGGAGGATTATTGGGGTGAAAAAAACGTTGGAGTGAATAGGGTTAAGGTATTGGTTTTTTAAATTTAACGGTGTACAATGTCTCAAGATATTTTTTTAGAATTCCAAAACAACGATAGAAGTTGGTCACATTCAGAGGAGTACGAAGGCAAGAATATCTCTTTCTAATGTAATAGAGAGAATATCTCTCTATTACATTATTAATCATAATAGACTTCAAGCAGGCTCGCATCTAATTACGCACTCAACTATCGCATCGTTATATTGTAAATGAAGAACACCGCGCGAATATCAATCGAGAAGATCTTTATGCGCCAAGAAGTTGGAGGCCGTTAGGAATGGATAAAAAAGTAATTGTATTATCGCACGTACATTTGTGTGCTCTAGACTTGCATGTAATATCAATCCTTGAAGTGAATCTTAATTTGACTACAAACGAGCAGATCATTTTTCGTTTCGCTGATTTTATTCATTGTTCCGAAAGAATTTCAATTTTTGAGCAATATTAGCATATATGTAATTGGTTTTATATTATTTATGTTTTCATATCTGAGTGTTTAACAAAGCCTGAATAAATACAGAAAAAAATATCGGATATTTCCAGCGTGTTCATTAATTTTATTAGATCGTCTAGGAAATAATTTTTTATACCGACGAAACAGAACTTTGCTTAGCTTATGCCGAGACTGTCGAGAACGGGGCATCGAGTAGTAGGAGGCGAGGATCGGCGGGGCGAAGCCACTGTAAACAAGCACGTACGCGCGACAACCGAGTACACGCCCGAATGGGCAAACACCGTGTATATCTCTGCCGCGATGGCGTTCATCCAATCAGAGATATCGCCGCGCGAAAGACGGAGATTAACGTCCCATTAACCCATTAAAGACCGCGATCGCCTTGAGACTTTTCCGAAGCTTACTCTGTTATAGAATAATCACGCCGACGTCTTTTATCGCTTTCAGGATGCTGAAACTAAGAGCGGCGCGCGAGTTTTGCTGAAAGAGCAAAAGCGTAGCGTGTATACAGTTGCGAAATATCACGCCGAAAAATGTCAGACGAGCTGAATCGAGGAGTCCTCTTCGCGAGGGCATTATTATTAATTCTTCATATTGCGTCAGAATGAGCGGGCAGAAATAAAAATATCGCAGGAACATTAAATCTGCGAGATATATCCGGTTTAATTCCAGCGTCGTGTAACTTTAGCAAGATGTAGATACTGCGAATACATGACCGAACAAAGAAAGGATAATAAAATTGTACCGTCGAGTAATAATCTACCTGACATTTATAGAGACTATCGAATTTACTTGGAACACGCTTTCGCGAATTACAGACTGGATATTCATAGTCAGAACTTATAAGAACATCTTAAGTTTATCTTCAGATATCCCGTAACCAGTGAAACGAGTTGTACAGTCTGAAGATAAACCTGAGATCTTAAATATAAGATCTGACTATGAATGTCGCCCATAGTGTGAGCGACGTCCTGGAAAAAAGTTTCTCGATTTAACCGCGTGACTTCCTGCTATACGAGGTCTCTCTCGCCGCAAATATCCGCGCGTTTTTAGGCGTCCCCGAACGGCACCGTCGCGATAAGTACGTACATTTTCAGAAGCCCATTCTTAGCGCTCGAGGTCGTTAATATGCAAATGCGCGCGTTCCAGTCGAGCGCCTTATACCGCGGCATCGAATTCGGTAGTATATGTAAAGTGATTCATTCGCGGGTCGCACAATCCGAAATACGGGTTCCTTCGACGTTCCACCGGCGTTCACCGTGATGGAACCGCCGATGCTCTTGCGCGGCGGTGCCGCGCGCGCAAGGTCGGCCTGAAATGGCGATCGCTCCCGATGATTAATTAGCCGGCGCGAGAAAGAACATCGGTGTAGCTAGCGTGCCCCCACATTTTCGCTACAGATCGATCCGTGATACATCCGTCCGACGACGTCCACGCGCGCGATTGCAACAGCGCGAGCGAGTGAGTCAACGATATGACGATCTGCTCTATTTGTCGAGCTGACAGTGCCCCGGAATCGCCGGAATCGCTGTCATTAGGTCTTTGAATGATCGCTCTCTGCGACGGTTATTATATCCGGTTCATTTCTCGCGTCGCCGGAGATTACGCGACACGCAATGACATTCTTCGACTACTCGCCAAGCGTGTTTAAATCACTCGACATTCACGAACCGACTGGGTCTTGTCTCCGTCTTACTCGAATCGCACCGAAAGGTAGAGAGAGAGAGCTCCGCGGGCTCGCAATCAGTTAAAATGATAAATTCAAGTATTAACCGCGGATCGTTATCCGACGAACTTTCGTCGATTCGCTCATCGTAGTGGCGTAGCCGGTGGTAATCGGTGCTAATGTATATGCTTAAATCCACCTATTAGCTAACAAATTTTCTAGACTTTTTTCAAAAAACCTTCGACTTATTTAAACGATCATTAATTCATTGTCTTCATTAACAATTTTCTTGCTTATGCATTTATTATTTGTTAAAATATTCGTTAAACAGTTGTCATTTTGTTAATTGTATACTAAAGGGATTATATCCCGTTAAAAAAATAAATAAATAGATAAATTTGTAAAAGTCGCGCGATAACATCGAGATGTTGGTTTTGCGCCGGTACGCCGCGCCGCCTCGTATAAATCGACAATAGAAAGCCCGGGACAATCGTACACGAAATGTATCTATTACGCGCCGTTCTCTCCACGTCTACGATCATAATTTTCTCGCTTTCCTTGACGGCGCGCGATCCGATTCCGCGCAGCCGCGTGCAAATTGTGCAAGTAGATCTCGAAGTTATCGAGAGACCTTGGGACCAAAACATGCGCATTAATCTCGGGGCTAATGCATAATACGTCCGATATATCGGGGGAAACGGTGTCAATGTCAATGTACACGCTGAATGCCGCGAGCGCGTTAAATTGTCGCCGTCGCAAATTTCTGACAGATCCTTCAGATTGGTTCCTAAAAAACTTGGAAACTAACGGCATATCCCGAGTGATTCCTTCGTTGAGTGTGTACTCCTTGAAACGTGTAGAAACTTAATCCTTTGCATTAAAATTATTTCTCACAAATGGGCTCGGTGTTTCAAGTATATTTCATCCTCAATTTCATCTAATCGGCTGATGTAATATATGAATCAAGGAATTTTCATTATTTGGAGGAATTTGTTGGAATCCCAAAAATATATCAATAATAAGTAAAACAGGGCCGTTATGATATATGGAATCAATTAGAGAGAAAAACGCCATTTACAGTCCGGACTTGGTAGTCTGATATAATATTGTGTAAATTTTATATACTTTTTCTCCAAACTCATTGCATCCATTATTGCATACAGACTCGAATTCTTAAAGAATTATGAAATTGTGCGAGACTATCACAACGCAGTCGAGTCCAATGCGATATAAGACATAGAGTTAAAATGGAGCTATCCAAATAATAAACTAAGATCTGTTCCTATTTGCAAAATAATTTGATTTTATTTATTTATTTATTTATGACTTAATCTCTTTTATATTATTTTGTATCAGCTGAAGAAGGAATCTGTGCAGTTCGAAACGTCCCGTCAAATTTGTTTAGATATAATAATAATAATAAATCATATTTTACGATTTAGGTGATAAAATCCTAATTATTTGCTCGTTCACTGTCCTATGATTTTTTTCTCTCTATGGAACGTATCCGGTGTCTTTTTGATATTGAAATTGATTTAAAATCTCGGTGTTATTTAACATATGATAGCCTTCCCTGCCTTCCAAATCAATTATGTATTCGCTTAACGACGTCGGTCTCGGACACACGTCTCTCCGGGCATCTCGGGCACGTACGTAGACGAGTCTAGAAGTCGCGACGGGTTTTACCTATATGGATTCGGAAACGTGCACCGATCTCCAAAACCGGCCGCGTGAAATGGGCGAGGATCGCGGAATAGAAGCGCGAGGCGCGCTCTCGCAAAAGCGGGAGCGTAATTGCTCCCGCGAACTGGTTCAAAGGAGGCGCGCCTCTTCAGGTGCGGCCCAACCGCGGCGATGGCCGAGAGGAGATGCGGCCGGCAGCGTGACGTCACCCAGTCCGGTTTGCACGTCCAACGTCCTCGTTCGTCATTTTAAGGAGCGAGCCTACCGTTCGGCGACTGGGATTGTCGAGCGCGACAATAATCTCCGCCTCACGCTCGCGACGATCCGTGCAAAGTGCGTCTTTTCTATTTTTAACGTTATGTACATCGGAAATCCAAGAGAAACTTTTCTTCTCTTTAACATTCTCAGCGCGATAGCAAACGTTGAAGAATTAAGAAGATTTTTCGCGCGGCGCCGTTCGCCTTAATCATGAGATCATATCTCTCTTCTCGTTTTTGTCCGCTCAGAACGAAAACTTGAACAGCGCGATCTGAAAACGTAAATGTTAACGTTTACGATCTTAATCGAAGGAAGATAAGCATCGGAAAGGCGTTAAGCTTCGAGTTAAGTGCCCGCTTGCTCGTTAATCCATAAAATGTCTAACAGCCCGAACAGCCGCTCACTGCAGTAGATTCGCGCCTCGGCTTGCCATTTCCCATTCACGGCACGATCGTGTCAAAATTACGCGCCGTGCGGCGCATCGAAAATCGATACCGCTCGCGCGAGATACGTGCCGGCACCTAGCGGTCTGAATTCTTATCAAAAGAACCCGCAGAGGACGCTACTGCGCCGCCGCAGGTCGCGATCCGGCGTTCCTTCTCTAGGGAAGAAACGAAAAGTACCCTAGTCGCCTAGAGGTCGCGAAATGTCGAGTGTGCTACACGTGGGGGAAAGGAGGGGGCGAGAGGGGGCAAAGACCGATGAGGAAGAGAACAGCGGACTAGCGGAGAGAGAGCGAAGCTCGCGGCGCCGTAACGAGTGGCGGCGAGAGCCACGACCCCAGACGAGAGAGACCGTAGGGTTGATTCTCCATTCCGCTTATGTGTGTGTGTGTTTGTACCGTGTGTACATATATTGTGTGTGTGTGTGTGTATCATATGTGCATCGGAGTATCGGAGTAGCGCGGAGCTGGAGCGTAGGTAATACGCCATCGGCGGCGCGACAGAGACGACGATAGGGGCCGGCCAAGACTCTCTACGGATGACAGAAATGCATAGGCGTGCGAGCGCGAGACTCGGCGGTGGACGACGTGGACAGCGCCGGCGGCAAAATCGCGTTGTTCGCGCGTAACGTTGCTCGCGGGGCGCGTCGGTGCCATTCGCCCGTGGATCAAGGCTCTCTCGCGCCGTCCCTGGACTCCCGCACCGTTTCTCTCGCTCTCGTCGACTCGTCCGCTCGCTCGCTCGCTCGCTCGCACGCACGCTCGCGCACTCCTCCGTCTCTTCCCCGCGTCCCGCTGACAGCGGTGCCGTACCCCTCGGACCCCTCGGTGGCTAACCTCGGTGTATTTAACGTTCAACGTGTAAATACGTGCACACACGGGCGAGTACTCCGCCGCCGCCGTCGCCGCGCCGGACGCCGGAGGCGACGATCAGCAACGATGCACCAGCGACGGCGCGTGTCACGCGTCATCGTCCCGTGACACAAGGCAGCGACGACGACGACGACGACGTCGTTCGTCACGGTGTACTGTGGTACGCGCGCGCTCGCCGCTCTTACGGGGGGAGGGAGCGGGCCCCACGGCGGCTGACGGCGACGTGCAGCGCGGAAGACGAGAGAGTCAGTCAGTCAGTCAGTCAGGTAGAGGACGGGGAACGTGGCGCGGGGGCCCGAAAGGCTGATCGGCGCGGCCATTTTTACACCGTTTACACCGCGCGCGCGATGCGGCAACCGTGCGTGCCCGTTCGATCCGCCATTCCAAACAATCGGTGCGCTACGCGCGCTCCTCGCAGGAATCGCAAGATGCGTCCGACGACGGCAGGTCGTCACGGTGGCACCGCCGTGCTGCGTCGACGACGATAGGCGTTCCGCGCGTCCGCGTCACGCCGCGCCAGCCAGTCAGCTAAGTTTGAACGGACGGACGGACGCACGGACGCAGGCCTGGCAGGCACGCACGCACGCACGCACGCACGAGACGCGCTGCTCCGCACACGTAAAGACGTAAGGCGGCGCGCCTGCGACACGACGTAAGAGAGACGACGTGACGTCGCGGAGGACGAGAGGACGACGGCCCGCGGCCGCCGGCGGTGGCAGTAGTGGTGCTGGAGGTGCTGGAGGTGGTGGACGAGGACGACGTCTCGCGCACAAACGTCGGCGACGTTGGCGACGACGGTGGCGAGGAGGAGGAGGAGGAAGCGTGGAGGCGGCGAGGAAGGAGGCGACGGAGAAGAAGAGGAAGAAGAAGGAAGAGGGACCGTGGAGGATCGCGCCGAGGCGATAACGTGAAGGAGGATGATAACGGCGCGCGCGACCACCGCCGCGACGTGGACGGCGACGACGAAGACGATCGGCGCTCCGAAGAAGACAACCATCGCGACGGTCACGGCGACGTCGACGACGCGATCGGAACGACGGCTGGAGACTCAGGAGACGGAACAATCCCGCCGCGATACGCTCGGCTCCTTGTGCTGCTTCGTGCGTGCCTGTGATTCGCAGTGGCGTTCAGCGAGGGCCATTAGCCCGTAGTGCGCGAGCAGCCGTCGGATGATAATAAGTGCGCCGTGCGCCCGTGCGCCACCGTGAGAGAGAGAGTGTGTGCCTACGTCCATTATACTACTCCACGGCCCTTGTACGCGTGCTTCGGGGCTTCGGGGCCCTAAAGAGTTGTGTGTGCGTGTGTGCCGTCTCGCTCGCGAGTCTTCATTCGCGAGTGTGCTCCATCTCGGTGTACGCTCTGTCATTTTCTATCTCTCTCTCTCTCTCTTTCTCGCGCGTTCTCTGTCTCCCTCTCTTTCCATCTTTTTCTGTCTTTCTCCCTCTCTCTCTCTCTCTCTGTCCCGTCGTCCCGTCTGTCCGACCTGCGTGCGTGTTTCTCGCGTGCCTCTTCGCCACACGCACCCGGACTCTCTCTCCTCTTCCTCGACCACCGCGCGATCGATGTGACATCGCGCCCCGTGCCGTTAAAACCGTGTGTTTCGCTCTCCCGTGGCGGTCGCGATATATCCGCGCTGAGCACCGAGAGCCGGAGAGGACTCGTTCGACGAGAGAGAGAGCGCCGAGGAGGAAATATATACATATATATCGGAGGACTCTAGCCGTGCGCGTTACGCGTGTGTGCACAGTGTGTGCGTGCCGACGGCAACGTCTCTCAGTGAGCGCGGTGCGCTCTCTCTCCTCTCTGCCGTGTCCCTTTCCCCCGTGTTCCCCCCTCGCTCCCCCAGCGCCCTGCGCCCCATCGTCCACGTCGTCTTCCTTTCTTCCCCCCTCGCTCTCACCCGCTCGCTATTCCCTGCCTCGCTTTTCTTTCCCTCGCTCCCGTCCCACTCTCTCTTTCTTTCTCTCTTGCCATCGGTCGGGACGACCGTATAGAATGCACGACAACGCTGCTGTCGTCTGCTCGCGCGCTCCCTTTGTCGTCATCGTCACCTTCCTCCGCGCCGTCCGCGTCGCGCGTTGATCGCGGGATCGCGCCGCGAGGGTGACCGCGCCGCGAGCCGACGGGGACCTATACTACCGGTGAAAAGTGCCGTGCTCGGTGATTACGCGCGAAGAAGATGGAGATCGAGGCGAAGCAGCGTAGCCAGAAGAACCGACGGCGGGAGCGGGCGCAGCGCATGCTGGCGCAGAGGGAGAGCCTGGCCACCGCGAAGCAGCAGCAACAGCAGCAGCAGCAGCAACAGTCGCAGCAGTCGCGGCAACGGCCGTTGAACGACGAGGAGGACAGCCACAGCGGCGAGGACGAGGACCCCGCCGGCGGTGGCGGTGGCGGTGGCGGTGGTGGCGGCGGCGGTGCCGGCGGCGGTGGTGGCGGCGGCGGCCTCGGACTCGGCGCCAAGACCGGTCACCCGCGGGACGGCCACTCGCGACCGCCCAGGCCACCGCGGCCCCCGAGGCCCCGTAAGAAGTCTTCCCTCGCGGCCGCCAACCAGAAGGAGCCACCTTTCGAGGAGGACATTATCGACGGATTCGCCATCCTCGCCTTCCGCACGTACGAGGAACTCGAGGTGAGCCGCACGCGGACCGAACGTCCGATTTTTTCTTTTTTTTTCTCTCTCTCCATCTCTCTCTCTTTCTCCCGTCCGAGCGATCCGCGCGATTGGATCTACGGAAGAGGAGGAGGAGGCTGGGGGAAGCTGCGATCCGACGGCGTATGCTCCGCCGTCGGACATGTACTCGCCATAACCTAAAAGTAACCTAGAGATAACCTAAAAGCCCTCCTAATCCTGCTTTCGTTTGTCCCTTCTCTCTACCCTTTTCCAAATCCCTTTCTCAAGTCGGATTAGGGTGACAGCGCGGACGTTCTGCCGTGTCCGAAAACAATTCGAAGCGGACAGTTCGCGATGTGAATTCGAACGATTTGTATGTACAGCTCGAGGAGATTGACAGCAGTGACAGTCGAGTCGTGATTCTTCGACTTAAACTGTGTTTAAGTTCGGACAGAAAGAATAATTCAATTAACACTGCGCGGACAACACCGTGTTTTTAGAGCACTCCACTCGGACACCCTAGGACTTTTTAGTCCAAAGGGTTTTTGAAAGCGTTTTTGTTTACAAAAAATCTACACAAAAATTCATGTCGTTCTTAAGGTTTTCATAAAGTGATTTCTATACTTACATAGGCCGGAACCAAGTTAGGGAGCAAAGTCGACGCGAGCGTCCCGTGGGAATCATGAATGAAAAATCAAGTGGGCCGTAAAAGGCCCATATGGTGTCCGCGCAGTCATTGTCTCACGATTCTCTCTACTGCAGATTGATATAATTTTCTATCTTTCTAAGTAACAAATTGTTCGAAAAATGACTTTTCTCAGGTCATCTCAGCTTTATCTTGCCTCTCATTAATCATTCCGGATTTACTTATCGTACATTCGCGCAAACATGCTTTTGTAGCACAATGTGGGATTACTTTAGATTACTTCAGAGTTATTTACGAAATGTTCGAAACGCCTTGAATCAAGAAACCCGTTTTAGAATCTTATATTCTTTTACGCAGCTTTAGACCGGTGTGTTCATAGTCCGTTCTTATGTTAAGACCAGTGTTTGTACAGCGTTAAGATGTTATAAATCAACCACACAGCCGTATTAGCATCTTAAGATATTACTTACGTCTCGAATAAATACGAACTGTGAATGGGCTTTAGAAGGAGAGGTATAAAAGAAAGAAAAATTGGAATTTCCGAAATTCCGTTTGTTCGAAGGAAAATCCATCTTTTCTCGTCACTGAGATAGTTTGTCAATAACAATACGGAAAGCCTGGTGACTTTATTGTCTCTCTTCGTCACGCTGAAAACGATTAGTCCGTGTCGTGCTGTTCGGGACATTCTTGAAAAGAAGTGATATTATTGTCAGTGGGAAAGGTCGTCACGCTGGTCCCTCTTAATCTGGCGCTTGGCTTTGCGTGTTACATGTACTTTGATCTTATCGTCGAGAGATTTTCAATCGTGTTTACCATCGAGAAACATCGAAATAATGATTCATTTAGAGAATTATAGCTTCATTATATAGGGAAAGATAATTTACTTAATGTGGATATATATCTATAATCTATAGTTTCTTATTTCTGGATCGTTTAATTTTATGAGGTCTACTTCAGCTCGCTGGAAAATTTCTCTTGGACGTTTTTAAGTAAGAGCATTCGACCATCCGGGAAATCGTTACGAAATTTCGAAATTGTCACAGAAGAAAATATTATTTTTCTGCACTTTCCAAATAAAAAAAAAACAAGTGTAGTACCAGCACCAAAGCGTCCGTATCGGCGATACTTGGCAAGGTCGTTATTCGTTACGATGTAAATTTATGTCAAACATAGCGGGAAAATAAGCATTCTTCTCGCGAGCGATTTACGATATCTCTTATCGACGAGGAGCTTTCACGAGCGATTTGTCTATCTTCGGAATGTCCAGAGCGCACTTGCGTTATATCTCCGATTCGAATAAGCTTTGAACGCTCTATCCTCGCTATCTCACGATCAATCAATAACTTTTGTTAATTCTTTAATTGTATTTTCGATTACGTTAATTGTAAACTTGTTTGTTTAAAACTTTATTATCTCATTTTAAAAATACATGCCTTTTAGTAGATATTATATATAATTATATTACATTCAGTATAATTTTGAATATTTTATATATATTCAGAGAACTAATGTATAAAGATTAATATCATAATACGTAGAATCCATTTTAGATACGTTTCTATATTTAAGAGAACAAATCATACGTTCATATATAAATTATATACATTTGGCCCACATTCACTCCTCTATTATGCGCAAGTCTAAAGTTCAAGAAAATTTGCAAGATCACTAAAATAGAAAACTAATATTGGATATATTTTGTCTTAAAGCGGATCTCTCACTCTCTTTCACGAAGAGAATTCCCAGTCTCGCTTACAAAACCGGCAAGCGGATTTTCATCTCTCGCTGCTCGCTTGCGCGTGCAGAGCTTGCGTCGCGAATACCGTTACACGCCGCGAAGAAATGGTCGGTACACGCATTACGACGAGATGCAACGCGACGCGATGCGATGCGATGCGATGCGAGCCGCGAAGCAGGAGCACACGTTCGCGTTGCTCGCGCGAGGAGCGAGGCGGCGATCGTTGTGCTATCGGTCGCCGATATCGCCGAGGCGCGTTCCAAAGGCCGGTTAGCGCGGACGACGTCGTCGGTTTAACTCCAACCGCGATTAAACCGCGCGAGTGGCCGAGCTCTCGGGGTCTGAGAAAGCCAAGAGTGCTTCCAGCATAATTTGCCGACCGAAGTATCCGGTTGTTGGAAAATAACGGCCGATACTGATCTGTTTCACTTGAACCACTTATCTTTCGATACAAAAAACACAAATTTATCCGCTGTTTTTTGTTTAACACTTGCGAGTTTACTACCTGGCCCGTTTATCTGCGCCAGTGGCTCTTATATTCTCTCAGTTACGAAACTCTTCTGCTTGCGACACTAATTGTGCACGTGTTGTCCGCAATTAAAACGCCACTGAAATTTTATTAATTAACATCAGCCGTGTTTCTAAATGACAATGCACTAATGCGCTCTTGTATCGCGAACTCGCGGAGTGTGATTTGAGAACCGCTGACCTGCGCTGTTAACGTCTCTCACGAACTTAATTTATGTTATCTCAATTAACTAGAAACGTCTATCGATCGTTATTTTCCAATTAATCTCGCGTATTCTGCATATAAACTCCGAATGCAATTAGCAAACTTATTTAAGCTAATTGAATAAACTTATTGGATTCTAAATTTCTTTTAACGGAATTTCTGAAATCTGAGAAATTGTGCGAGATAAATAAATCTCATTTGTCTCGTGTACATATATATATATAGTATAGGTGCCTTTATTCTTTCCCAGTTTGTTTAAAAATTGGCTCCAGTCCCATTGCGGCGAGCGATTCTCGACTAGTAAAGCTCATCGGTGCATACGTGTCGCCGGGAGTGGCCCTTGAGAGTTTTATTCCCTCGCGGGGAATCCACAGTAAAATTTCCGGCGTACATTGAGAGCTACACTTAATGAGTGCCCAATTGAGAGTTTCGTTCTCTCCGAGAGTGATCCTCGATAACAAAACTCTCGAGTGTGCACTTCCCGCTAGCCTCAGACCGCTCATATCAGACGTATCGCGAGACCTCTCCTCTTTCTCTCTCTCTCCTCCTGCTCTAAATTCGTCGACATTGAGCCGCGTCCGTCCCTCCGCATCCACTGTTTTCATCGGTTAATCGAGGGATTAGCGGTCCTCTACGCTCTTTTTATATCTTATCGCCGACCACATGACAAGATATTAAATCTCGCCTCTGTTAACACAGTCGACATTAACCTAGTAATCTTTTTGCTCGCACAGAGCATCTCATTACGTGCGATTAAAGATGAGTAACGATAATGAAACTCATTTTGCTCTAAATAAACACGATTTATTCTTTCCTGAAAAAAATATAATCTTTTCTTTTTTTTATAAAATAGAAACATAACGTGGCTTTGCGATGCCGTGGGGGGGGGGGGGGGACAGGTACGCGGTAACTGTCGTTATCACCGAAGAAAATAAAGATAAATACCCGATAAATTCACGGAAACAATCCTACAAAAACATAAAAGTATATAGTTTTAAGCTAGATTAGATTAGGTGCATTTTAATTATCATTTATACAGTAATAAGGAAGATACATGACGCTAATATAAAAAACATCATTATTTATGTTCGGTGTTCAGCTATTAATCGACAAAAAGTAACATTTATTTAGTTCACGGTTACAATATGCATACAGTGCGCACAATATTTATTTATTTCCATATAGGTATAAAATAAAAATTTTCAAAACCATTAATTTTCCGTAGCGTTCTAAAAATTGTGCCCGAATTAAATAATAATAATAATGAAATTGCAAATAAAATATCCGATATTTCTGACGAAATATGAATGTTCGATGATCCACAGAATACTTGTTTACACGTTAAACATAATTTATTACGTTATATACCTGCAGATGTGGATTATTATATTTTACGCTTAAACGCGCTCAAACACCCTCTGATATTAAGTTTATCTTGCCGTGCCGCTTTTTATTTGCGGATCGGTCGTAAAGAGCAGTAGAACGAACGCGTTGACGCTTTCTGCTTCCGCGGCGGTTACCGAACAGTTCTATCCGAGAGGCGAAAGTTTATTTCGTTAATCGCGCGTCCTGAGCCCTCGTGATTTATGCATCGTCGCTCCCGCGTCGCGCGAGATTATTATTTCTTTTCGCTGGGAACGGTAAAAACTCGGCGCGGGCGCGCCGCACATTAAATCCGCAAATTAACTCGAAGACACGCCGCGTAATTACGCGCGCGCGGGGCGCCTTTATCGTGATTTATCGCGGCCGGGAAGTTAATCGTTACATTTTATTATATCGCGCGGTCTCGTTAAGCGCGACACCGTCGTCCTTTTTTCTTTGTCAGCGATCAAAACGCTGCGGCACTGGTACGATTTCGTTGAATTTAATTTTCGATATCGTGTATACAAGAGTGAAGGGAG